GGATCAGACTAGGTGCCCACCAACAGAAAAAAAGGGCACAGATGTAGATAGATACATACACAAAAAAAGATAGAGCAACATTACAGACACAGGTAGATAAAGATACAGTTAAAGATACAGAGAAAGAATGAAATCCCATTATTTACAGAGAAATGGGTAAAATGAAGGCTTGTATCTTTGTTAGTCAATATTCAATTTCACATATATTTCCACACACTTTGTATTCCCTCCTCCATTAAAAAAGCGTATTAGGAAACACATAAACAAACAAACAAACAAACAAACAAAAAATAAATTATCAAAAAGGTGAACGATATGAAAATGAGGACTAATGAAATCAAAATGAGAAGTCCAGCGGGGATGATCATCAGGTAAACATCAAAGATTATCAGATTGTGCTTATGTGCAGATTTCAGAAAGATAGGTAATGTCCATTGATCAAAGTAAAATGCATTGAGCCTTATGAAGAACCTAAAAACGTGACATCACAGAAAAGATACAAAGGTGAGGGCCAGTAACAATTAAAATTGATGGAAATATTAATGCTTATTGAAGCAGTTTTTTTTTTAAGTTCAATTTTATGGATGAGATCTTTCATAAAGGCAGTTTTGATGTATTTTTTTCAGTTTTATTTTTCTTTGTTGCCTTCTTTGTCTATACTAACTTAATACATTTACATCATACTACATCGTATTATATTTGCATCATGTTACATTTAATTGATCACATTTTAAGGTTACCTTAAAATGATGCCAGATAAATGAACAAATTAATAAAAAGAAGGGAAATAATTTAAATCTTGATAATTTTGTGGAAAAAAGAAAATACACAGCGTCACTTACATTCAGAATTTTGATAATAGTGGACCCACTTATTTTAAAGAAAATTGAATTTAAAGATGGCTGAAGCAATTAGATGGCTATTTTGAATAAAGAAGTCAACAACATGCACTTGCATGTGTTCAATTAGGAAGTTGGTGGTATTGATAAGAAAAAGAGTCAATGACTGTGTTATGGTTATTGATTATTTAAAAGAAACTTTGGTTGAAAACTAATGTCAGAGAAAAGATCAAAAGAAAGAAACACCAAAGAGCAGCTTTATAGCAGCATTCAATTCTACATTGTCAGTGTTTCCTGCCAATTAAGAAAAAGCTATGAGATAAAAATTCCATCAGACTAAGGAAGATTAATTATACCACCTGTGTGAAAGACAAACATTTTAGGACACACTGATGGACATTCGTAATGAGGCAAAGACAATCCTTGAACTCTTTCCCCTGATTTGTTCTCTGTATTTTCTTTAACTACCCTGATTGAGTCAGAAAACTTAGTAGATTTCTGAGTAATATATGCCCTGAATAATGAATTCCAAATGTAATTATCCAGAAAACCTAAAACCTTTATTAGTGTGTCTTTTTAAATTTCAATGCAAGATAGTAGTATAATATTTTCCATTCCTTACGTTCCCTCTCCTGAGCATGAACACCAGCATTCTCTGATTATATAGCATATGCTTTATCAGCACGTAATCTGAACATATAAATGTCCAAATATGTGTTTTATGTTACCAATGTAATAAATTTTACCATTAAATATAATGTTATTTTTCTGTACTTAAATGTGGTATTCTTTTACATCCAGAAACTAAAGTAATAAATGTATTCATAGGAAGACTTAGGACATTTTAGTCAATTCAACAAGAGAGAGAGAGAGAGAGAGAATGAGAAAGAGAGAGAGCAAGAGAAAGAGAGAGAGAGCAAGAGAAAGAATCAGAGGGACAGGTAGAGAACAGACAAGAATTTTACTACTTCTTGCTATTGACTAGTGTACGGTTAGTGTTGAGGCAGAATTGCGGGAAACTACCAGGCCTGTAAATATTTTTTGATTAATAAGAAGAGAGTGACTGAAGATGGTAGAGGAGACTCATTCATGCAACAATTAGTGGGCTTATGCTCATCCCAGGCAAAGGACACATCAAATTCTCCAAGTAGCATCAGAAAATGTTTACAGAATAAACTCACTTGCACAGCAATTTACTAGGTCACATAGAAGACAAATGCAACTGTAGAATTTATGGGGATTTTGGTACAAATAGTATAATATCATTAGATTCAGAATTAAATATGATTAGTGAAAGAAAAACATATTAACAAGAAGCATATTTTAGTATTTTTTGAAGAAATTAAAACCTACACAGCAGCCTGAACTCTGGAAATGAACCATATTGTTAATAAACTTCTTCATGAAGTAATGTGTAAGTCAAAGAATAAAATCAATAAAAAGATAAGCAAGTAAGCCATTACCCTGATGATTTCCAATTAACAATTTATTAATCCTCTCCCTATCAGAATGACCACAGAAACAAAATAATTATAAACACAGGCCACCTAGAAAATCATATAATACTGTGACATGAGAAGTTGTATATTCAATGAAATAATTAGAAAAATTTAGATTAAATTTTTTTCTATGTACTTGTAAGAAATGTCATTTCTTTAAAATTATACTTAGAAATTTTTATGAAGATTTTATTAAAGAAAAGACTGGGTCTACATAGACAGTTAAATAGGCTACTATGATTTCCATCTTGAATGTCCCCATAAACTGAGCAATCTGGGCAATACTTGGAACTTTCTAGAAGGAGGAGGTATGTAGGCTGTTGACTACTTGTTGCTTCTCTCACAAGGCATGTTGATACATTAGCTTTTCTCCTCTCTGGACTACCTGGCATGGGATACAGCTCACTCGTATCCATTGGGTGCTCGGTAACATAGCTCCCTCACCAGAGTCCCAAAGCAAGGGGAAAGCTGGTCAAATACTGGAAACACCTAAGTTGAACCCAAAGAATCCCTTTTTCTTTGTAAATTGATTATCTCAGATATTTTCAAACAGCAGTGGAAAAAGGACTAACACAAGAAACTTAAATTATATAAATTCTTAAAGTACTAAAATTAACTGGTCTAAATTCTTAAACAAGTGAAGACTGGTTTTAATTTACCATACCTTAAAATAAATTTAATTAAATAAAAAGCTAGAAAATTGGCTTAACTGTAGAATTATTTTAAAATAATACTTTGTTTAAAAAACAAAAATAAAAACAAAATTCTTAGATTTATGTTTTCTAGATGATATCTAAGTAAATGATGTCATCAAGCCTTCATGATTTTAGAGAACTTGATATAGGCATTTTTCAAAAGAGATGAAATAATTTCTTTAAAAATAAATTCCTACAATTCTCTACCCTTTAATTGAGAAAAAAGTTTTAAAACCTTGTTTCCTTTATACAGACCTTTAAATACAATTTATTAGAGATTTAATATTTTAAAGCAGACATATGTGTTGAAACCATACATAGCGAATTTCATGACCCTCTCAGTAGAGTCATAAACAGAATTGCTATTCAATAACTACTTTTAAGCACATGCATTGAAAAGGACACACTTTTGTTTCTGTTATCTCCGGGGGATCTTTAGTGATAGATAGCTGAATGACATCCTAATACTCTGAGAACTAAACTTTAGGTTCTGAGTTTCTACTTCAAAGAACAGCCAGAAGATATTGTCTAAATCTCCGGCACATGTGGCTCAGTGACTGAGGTGCAGAAGATCTATCCCACAGCTTGAGCCACTGCTTTGAGGAACTGATGATGAATTTGTTGTGACCATGCTCAAATGGTTTAGGAAATTACCATGAGGTAGTTGATATTCCAAGATTCAAGCATCTGGTGTTGGAAAAACCCCAATTGAACTATCCTCTATTTCTACAAATTTGCTATCAAAGCAATTCAGGGTAAACTGGATAGTCATATATGTGTTCCAGGGCACAACAGGCCAGGAATCTAATTACTAAGTGAGGTCTGAGATACAGGAAGTTAAATCAGGAAAAATTGTTTTTGCATAACAGCGATTTAGGGCCGATTTCACTCCCCACCTAGGGAAATGTGTGAAATCCAAGACTTCAAGAATATAATGTTAGTAGTAAGATAGGAAAACATTTTAATAAGAAAAGAGAGAAAAAAAAAAGGGCTCATCATCTAAAGGCAGAAGCTATAATTACTTATTTCCCTGACAGTCAAATGTGTATAATATGTATTTAAATAAACGAGAATCCCATCTTTTTCTATTGCAAACTACTGTGGTTTCCTCTGTGCCGTGGAGTATAACTGTAAGCATTAGTTGGTGCACAGTGTTTGTACACTGATGGGGCATTTCTTCTCCCTGTATCATGCTGATTATTGAACTCCTTTATGCTGCCTGCCCTAAGAAATTAGTCACTGGTGCTTGAATCTGGATAGAATGTTTGCTCATAATCTCACCTCAATTAGACTGGGTTATCTCATCATAACACTACATGCTAAGCTATAACTATATTAAACACATAAATCAAACAATGATTAACTGCAAATTGCAACATTTGCAGGCTTAAAGCATATTACAGAGAGTGTCGGAGCGTCACATTTTACATACTTCTGAAAAACTTTTAAAAGAAAACATCTTACAAAATGTTGAACCACTAAGTGATTTCATAACCAAGTGATTAAATTTATTTGGAAAAATTATTTTTCTCGTTCCATTAGCTTGCAAATCTAAATCTATCCCTGCTAGGTCCGTTTTTCCTTCCCTTCCTTTCTCCCTCCCCAAATGTCTCCCTCTCCCTCTCATCTTCTTCCTTTTTTCCTCTCTCTCAGCTCAGTATCTGGAAATCCCAGTTCCCTGTGAAGGGGTCATAGGAGCAATTGCCTCGACCAAGGGCAAAGCTGTTGTTAAACACATAGCTTGAACCATAAAGTCTATGACAATCTGATGAGAACTGTGCAGAGGCATCACAGAAAAATGCATAATAAAACAACATTTTTTTTCCTTTCAGAATTAGAGAATGAAAAGATTGCTGCTGAAAGCTTAAACAAGGGTACCGCCCCCAGGAGTTCCTGTGCTTTAACTTTAAAAAAAACAATCACAACTTGAGATCTAAAACGTTATTTTAAATTTAAAGAGAACTTACCATTTCAAGGAAATAGTGGGTTCATTCTGTAGGTGACCAAGTGGCAGTTAGCGTCTATTCGTTTAATTAGAAATATTCTCTGACTTCCAGCTTACTGAATTATGTAAGTATTAAGCAATATCATGGAATAAAAGGAATGCCATCTGTGAACCAATGGTTCATCCAAAACATTGTTCCTGAACAACCTCCTGAGCTCCGTCATTGCTCATACAAAAGGAGTCTAATAACGGCAGTTGCTGTCCAAGTCAAGTTGAAGACAATTATTTCATCTGTTTTTTATATAATTTTAAATGTGCCTGTGGATGTTAATAACCTATCTTAACAAATGTAGTATAAATAACGGCTACCCATTTTTATGACTGTGTGCCAGTCAAGTTTAGCTAATTACAACTCATTTAATTATGTATATAAATTGCATAAAATATGTAACAATGTCATTATAAAGTAGGGATGCATTTGCAACTTTCCAGAGTGGGGGGCGGAGAACCTATGATCTGAGAATAGAAACTTGATTTCTGGATTGTGTGGTTATAGAAAGTGAAATGGCACATGGTGAACAGAATTGTTAAAACCTTTGTGATTTATCATTTAAGTAAACTGCAATAATATTTTTTCTCTTGCACAGTATATTTCAGTATAAAAAAATATTCAAACTGGTGGGTAAGTTGATTTGTTTTAGATCAAATATTTGAGTAAAGATGATACTTTAACAATATTTTTTCCAATCCTTTACAGAATTCTGGGATCTTTTCATATACCTACCTTGGCAGATGGTGCTATTCTGAAGTAATGACTAATCTAGAATCTACGTAAATAATGTTATGGAATATGAATTAATAATGTTAATACATTGCTAACATTGGAATATTAAATCAGTATTAGAGATTACTAATAATAACTTGGATGTTATTTGAATGTCCACCTCTTTTTTGCTCCAGCTATGCAGATATGAATGCAAAAACATACATAAGCAGCCTTTTGCACACAGGCCCTTAGCAGTACTAAAAAAGTCCAAGGGGGCAAATTAACAGACACAAAGGAAAAGGAAAATCAAGACTGGGTGTGGACATCTCCAAAGCCACAAACCTCTCCTACTGACAGGAAGCCTGAGACCTATTGCATGTCTTTATTCCAGACCCAGAGAAACTGGGTTTAAACTGTTTCTGGTATCTCATGGCAGAAATCACAGGAGAGTTTATGAGAGTGAAGGATTTGGTGCCAGGAGATTCAGAGGTTCTGGTTAGAAGTTTCAATCTTGCTCCATCTATGTAAATTATCATAAAAATATACGACTTTCCATATTGCCTTGAGGGCTGAGTATTTGATTCAAGAAGACTGTCTTCTAGGCTGCTCTAAGGTCAGTTCTTGTTTCTGTGAATTCCACATGCAATACACGGAAAGATCCTGCACTGATGTTTCCATCATCCTTTGTAATTCCATTTTAGCATAAAATACGGAAAGAAGAAGGCTTTTTAAAGATTCCATAATGATTACAGTATCCTGGATATTAGGACAGTGTCCAGGACATTGTAGGATATTTTGGATGCCCTCTTTTTTCCTTACATCCTGTAGTCAGGAAAAATGAAGTCATTTTTATGGAAGACCGCAGAGAGAAATTAGCACATGATTAAATGTTTGCCACATGAGGTCTAAATTACATTAAAAAGAGAAAGGGGGAAAAACAGAATATAGCAAATTGAGCTGCAGAAAAATATCAATGGAACATACTTAGTAGGAAAGCCTGATGGCTCTTCCTTCATCCCCAAACCACCTGCAAGAAGTGAGTTTCTCACCTTCTCTTCTATATGAACCATTTTATACTTCCTTGGCTGTTTCTCAGAACAAATCAACAGAAATCTATGATCTGAAGATGTTCTTATTAAAACCAAGTATTTGGTTCACTATTAAGCGTTATTACTACGTGCTTATTCTAAGACTTCTGTTTTTCAATGCTACTATATCTGCTTACACAGATGCAGTAGTATAAACAACACAAATTCATTTTTTACCATTGTCAAAAATAGAAATTTGGAATGTATCTCAGTGGACTATAATCAAGGTACTTGCAAAGCTGTAGTAGGTGCTTTGGAAGAGCTAGGAAGAGTTCATATTTTGGGCAATTCCAGTTCCTTTAAAATGTGTGCATGTGTGGACCCTTTATCCATTTTCAAACCCAGAAATGCAGTACCCACGCAGCACTTTCTGATTCTGATTCTACACTTATATTTAAACTACATCTGTCATTGTGTAGCATAAATTTGGGCATACCAGAATAACCCCTATATTTTAAGGTTTTCTATTTAACAAGTTAATTCTACCTTGCCAGATAGATCAATATATCGTAGGTTTTCTGTACTAGGAAGTAGGTATTTTTTGACAGCCATAATTCTACCTACCACAAATCTCAATCCAAACCAATTTCTCAGGAGCAACCTCTCTAGAATTTTTTTTTTATTTTGTAGCAACAGCTTTTTATCCAACCATCAATAATTTACAGCATCATTTTCATCACTCTTTGTTTATCTGATCTTTTGAAGATCAGTCATACTGCATTACACTGCTTCAATGTTCTTTAAGGAGTTCAACACTCTGGGGGACCAGTCTGGCCTTCAGAACTGGAAGATATTTTCCTTTATAATATACTTTCAAGAAGTGTAAAATACCACAATTTAATCACTTGAGGTACTGTAACTCAGGCAACTCATTTGGTTATTTGTGTTTCTTAATGACCCTTGCATATGCTTTGAGGACTCATTAGGAATTTCTAACAAATCAGAGGACAGCAGCTGGTTCAGTGGCCATGTGCATTTATTCTGAAGCTGCAGTTGTCCGGATTGGTGCAAAGCAAGGCAGGTGTTTTGCAGAGTGTCCAGGCAATAGAACGGAAAGGGAAAGGGAAGGGGAAGAGGGCTTGCTGACACACACTTCTGCCTCTGCTGTCTCCTTTATTGCCCAAGTACTCTTTCGAAGTTTGTCCCTAATTTCAGCAGTTGAATTAGGAGGCGAACTTGTTTGTACAAGGAGCTAGTCTATCTGGAGGAAACCTCACTGTAGACCCAAACCTGAGCCAAAGCAAACATCAAATGGTTCCCTTCACATAATTGCCACCGCTGAGACAGGACTAGCCACACACTGATCGGGGTTGACAGAGAATGTGATTTATCCACCTCTATTCGTTAAGGAACAAGTGCGTATTCACACATAGCTTAAAATCTCCGGTTCTTCACTTTCCCTAAAGAATCTATACTCACACCAATTTAAAGCTGAGAACAATAGTAGTTTTCAATTTCAGTGTGATTTTATTGCTTATAAATAGTAGAACTTATTTATTTATTGCCTATGGGTAGTAGAATTTTTATAAAGAGAATCTGTTGCTTATAAATAGTAAAATGTATGTATTTATTGTTGATAAACACATAGTAGATTTATTTTAGGCAGCAAATGCTGAGTTTTCTTTTATTCACTTGTCTTGCCCTGCTTTCTCTGTCTGTATAGTATTTTGCAACATAAGATCTTAAACTTTTATTGCTAAAGCGTAGGTTTGTAACACCTTAGATATTACATATTATAAAATTATAAGCTTAATTCATATCTTTGTATATTAGTATTCATTGACGGTGTAGACATGCAATTGTTAAAGTGATGAAAACTATAAAAGTGAGTTAGTTCTGTATGACCAATTCTTCAGGGAATATAAAACTGTGTGCCGGACACATAAAGATAAGTATGGATAATAAGCAATTACCGTTTGTTACCATTGTTATTTTGTTCAGTAAGGGAAGAGGGACAGAAAAAAGGCAAAGAATGCTGACTTTTTTCTTTGAGAGTTTGTAAATGTTTGTGCATGTGCATTAATTTGATTTGATAAATGCACCCATTTGATCCTTGGTAGGCCGTGTTTTATTTGCAACCTGACTGATTAGCAGAAGTTTAAGTGAAGCCCAGAAAAATGTTGTGACTTGTGTAATTTAAAAATTCTTATCTTTTGCTTTTCCACTTTACTGTATTAAGAGTGTATCTTTATGTGAGCATAAAGAATGAATATATCTCTACATTGTTTTCTTCCATAGTAATAATTCAGCCTCTCATGGGGATTTTTACTCTGTTGCTTAGATTGTTCACTGTTTCAACAGTGACAGAAGAACCATTAATAAAAGGCAAAGAACAGAGCATTGAATTTCTAAAATTATGGAGTGCATGAAAAACTATAGACATCCTGTCACCTAATCCCTAAGGTAATATTTACTGTCACAGGCACTGATCTTGCAAAATATGGACCTTGTGTCACTTAAACCTAATTTCAAAATTGGTGAGTGTCCTGTATTAGCTTTTGGGTGCTGATAAAACACATTACCACAAATTTGATGACTTAAGACTGTGTGACTTTATTCCTGAAAGACAGAAATCTGAAATAAGTTCCACTTAAGTTAAAATAAAGTTGCAATCAGAGTATTTGTTTTTGGAGGACGGGAGGAGATATCTACTTCCTCATGGAGTTCAGCTTTCCCATCCCTCTGGCCTCTTCCTCCATTTTGATGTGTAGCAAATAAATTTTTACTTCTTTCACTACATTTTTTCTCAAATTCTGCAGTCAAATCACCTTCTATCTCTTGCTTACAAGAACACTTATGGTTGCATCTAGGCCCACAGAGACAATACAGGGTAATCTCCCGGTCCCAGTGTCCTTACTGAATCTATCTTATTTATCACTAACTTAGTCTCATCCTCAAAATCCATTTTGCCATGAAAGGGAACATTTATAGACCCTGGGATTTAGGAATGTAGTTATTAAGAGAATTTGGTCAGCTTTACTGTTTTGGGAGCCACTGAGGTGATTAGAGAAGAACTTCTGAGTGGATCTAAGACGGGGAACTTTGGGTACCATATTTGTTCCTGGATCCTTCCTGTTTAGAGATGCTCCTCTGCTCTCCTTCCAGTCCACCATGAGCTAAGCAGATTTTCCCTTTCGCCTTGATATTCCTGCTGATCATAGGCTGAATTCCCTGGAAACTGTGAGGCAAATTATCCCTCTACTCCTTTCAAATATAGAGTCAGTATTATGCCCCAGTGATAAGAAAGC